TTTCGTGAGAATGACCCATATATATATCAGATTCCATAATAGTTTAAAAATTAATGTATGTGTCTATTTTTATTATAATAGCTAAAAATTCACTGAGGAAAACGCGGTTTTTAAGACTCTTAATGTTTTTCTTACAATTATCTCATTGATTTTAATAATCATTATAATTATTATTATTTGGGCCTAGTTCAAACATAAAATTATTGTAAACTTAACTTGTAATTAATAATAATTTTATCGACAAAATGTATTTTTACTTACTTTCGCAATTGCCTTCAAGAGGATTGAACGTGTATCCAGAAATACAAGTGCAAAACTTTATAGGACCTATCATATGGCAACTATCTGAATGAGGTCCACAATCACATTCTGTCAAAAATTTAACGTAAAAAAGCATGCACATTAAATGAATAAAGGAAATGCCAAAAATGCAACAGTGGCATGATAAAAGAAAAGGCTATAAATCAAGTTTTTTTCCCCATTACTAGTAATTAAAAGAAAATGTACGTGTTAAGCGCAAAAAAAAAAAAAAAAAAAAAAAAAAAAAAAAAAAAAAAAAAANAAAAAAAAAAAAAAAAACCAGAAGATAAATAAACTTTAGATATTAATTTATCTTTGCTCGTTTTTTTTTCGTTTTCAGTATTTTTATTTGTCTTTGAATGAAATATTATCCTTCACATAAACGTTTTTTCTCGTGCATACTTATCATGGGCACAAAGCATAATTATTTTCGAAATTAAATGTAATCAAAATTTGGGTATTACGTCTTTATATATATATGACTCAAAAATAGTTTTTTATCTAAGTTAAAGAAATTTGTATAAAAAACTAATACAATCTTTGCTTCTACGCTTACAAACGAGGAGTTCTTACATCATTGGCCATACTGCCATTTTGTTTAAAACAGTTTACTTGATTGACATATTTTGCTTATTTAAAAGCATGTAGATTAATGCAAAAATAAACATGAGGGTGAGTCTGATAGCATTGACATAGTATATTTACTTATCATTATTTTATAACATTATTTTGAATAATATTACGATATTTTGAATAATACATAGCCTAATTCGGATACATCATAGGCAATATTTAAGACATGATTAGATCAATTGGAAAACTACGTTTATGTTTTATAAATGCTTAATTCGACCTATCCTACCTTATGTATACTGTTTATATAATTCTTTCAGAAAACTGCTTTGATACGCACTAGCCATATGGCATTAGTGAGGGTAAATCTCATAATTAAATATTCAGTTCATTTTTTTAAAAGAAGCAAGAAAAATGAAACAATTTTTGAATAAAAAATAGAGTTTTGAGTAAATAAAATAAAAAAATCTAATGTAAAATAAAAAGGTTTTCGAAGTGAAAGTTTACTACATAAGAAGTGTTTTTTAATCATTGTTTACTAGAAAAACTATTATTTCGTAGCTAAGTCGAAATTTGTCCACTCAGTTTCACAAATAAGTGACAAATTAAATTAAAGACATTGGTTATTAATATTTTTTTAAAAGAACAGATTTTATAATTACCATGAAAAAATAATGTTATTCCATAAATGATTAATATTTTGTATTAAAAAAAACACTTCATTGTGCTAAAGAGTTGATTTTTCCTTAACTTTCAACACAAAATTAAATGAATTAAAAGAAACGTATGGAAAAAAGTTATAAAATAGTTAAATATTTAAGAAATATGTATTTAACATAATTATCTAGGAAAGTTGAACTAATATAGGATACTCAAGATAATACCAAAACTAGGTAATAATAATCTTTGACCATGGTTATTTAGAAACATTTTTTTGACAAAAATGACTGTACTTTTGCCAACAACATTATAACAAAAAGATAAATTGCTCCCTCCACGGAATATTAGACTTCGCAAAGAATAGTTTCACCTAAACAATTAAATGATGCTTTTACCTTTACAAACGCCATCGTTAAGAGTGTAACCTGATCTGCAAGTACAGAATTTTGTGTCATTTACAAAAGAACATTCTGAAGCTCCACGTCCACAATCACACTCTGAAATATAAATGAATATTTAGTAGATCTCCCAAATTTATCATATAAATTATGCATTGATAAAGTCAATAAATGAAAAAAAACTACAATAAATGTATATTATTTTTCGGTTTTTTAGGGAGTAATTCGCAATCCAAGGTTGTTGCAAGAGGAGATATTTTCGAAACAAATTTATGAACGCAACTATAGAAGAGATAGGGAACTCTCTAATTAAGAACTTCTCTAGTGTTAAATTCGTGAGTCTTTGGATTTTCCTTCTGACTTCAATTGAGTTAAGTTTTCCAAACTTTTATTCGTCCACATTTACAGCTGTAGGCGTCCAAGTTATTATTCATGGCTGGAAGTTATAATTAAGCTATTATTATTTACTTGCAGGCATATATTCCTCGAAACTAAGTAATCATTTGCGTGTTATAAGATTAGCCATAAGCTATAATTTTTCAGTTAAAAGCTGAAATTATTGCTTTTTCGGAGTTTTTCTATAAGTATTTAGGAAAAATCTCCAAATCGCCCCCACATAAAGTCTTTAAGAAGCTGCTCCCAGGAAATATAATAATACCCTTACGCGGGGCACCAATTATTTGAAAATTGTTGGTAACCAGTAAAAATATTAGCACCCTTCCCATTTTTACATGATTTCTAAAATCCCATTTATTAACACAATATTAAAATAAAACTAGGTATCAGAAACTTCAGGGAATGTACGTCGGTGCAAAGGTAAAGAAAACATAGAATTTTTGCTTGCTTCAATAATTGTTGAAAATTCAGACGAGAATAGAGAGAAAAATATCGCTGATGATCAAATCTCCAGTCGAAATTTCTTAGATAAATATTCAGCTACAAAAAAATGTAAATTCATAATTAAAAGCTAAAAATATAGTCGCCAGTCAAAATGTATTGGTCGCCAATGGCAACCGGTAGATCGTATTTCTCGAGCTTTGCCCCTTCACCTGGAGCATAACCCGATCTGCATGTGCAGAGATTTTTGTCGTTTACATGGGAGCATTCTAGAACATACCCGCAGTTGCATAATTAATAAGCTACTTAAAACCTGCTATATAGCTAATTAATTTCTAAAATCAGTGAAATGAAATAAAGTTACAAATGCAGAAAACTTTTTAAGGGTGGGTTCGAACGAATTTGGGATGCTAAACTTTTTAAGAAAGAAGTCTTAGACATTTCCTTTCTAATCTGGGGCCCTTCCGAAATGTGGTTCAATAATGTTTGGATTTTCGTTTTGAAAGTAGATCAGTGAGGTTTATCAAATTTTTATCTGCATCGGCCATTGGCTGCAAGATTTTAGCTTATTCGGTAGTTTTTTAAAAGAGCTTTAATGTAAAAATTGTGAAATACTTTTTTCATAGAGTAAGGAACAATTTAAAATTAGAGTTGACAATACTCGCTAGCCACACATATTTTCACAAAGCTTGGACTAAACCAGAGAATTGAAAAGCTCTTTACCTTCACAAACGTCTTTGTTTACAGCGTACCCTTTTATGCACACACAACGCTTTTCACCATGCATATAACAGCATTCTAAAGTTCCATATCCACAGTCACATTCTAGAATATAAGTACAGGAATGAATTTTTTTTTTACATATATGATTAACAGTAAAATTAAAATAAAACAAATTAAGAACAGTCGAACAAAATTCTTAAAAGGATATTTGTTCTTTTGTGTTCAAACGCCTAGTAAACACTGCAACAAAATTGTGATCGAAATCATAGAAGACACAAATGCCTCTTTAATTGAAAGGGATAATCGTCATATTTAATCAAATATTTCTCACACTTAAAAAACATTTTTTTAAAAAAAGTTTTTAAGTTCTATTTTAATAAACTGTTAAATCATTTTTTCAATCTATTTCATTAGGCAATTTATTTTTTCGAGTTTTTAAGTTCAATTTCATTTTGTTGCACTCTTTTCTTATATAAAAAAACATTTCTTTTTTGGAAAGACGACACGAATAGGCTTTTGTTTGGAAAAGCAATATGCATTATCTAATATATATAATTCTCTTACGTGGCTCCCAAATTTTGGCTGCATTTCTTTTCCGCTGGAGGCAACGTTTGCTTTGGTTTGTTTACGTTACTAGTATTTCTCTTACACGGCGACGAAAAAAGCCTCATTACAACTCCCCGAATGGCAACGCTAGAAAATCGACCAATGATTGCCGCTAAAAATGCCACATGCCAAATCTAGCTGAGGTGGCTCAACATATAGCGCTTTTAAAAACGGAAACAGAAATAACCAGAGAGCATCAGTTGCGGCAATCTCATGCTATTAAGCTAGGCAGAAGTGAGTAGTCTTTGTCGATAGATCTCTATTTTCGTATTTTGTCGAAAGCGCTTTTTTTCACGAATTTATATATTACGAATTATTATCACGAATTATACTATAGCACATTTCTAATACGTTTAACGAATTACATGTCATTTATTTGAGTTCAAATTTATTTTAATGACTTAGTATTTACTAAAAAGATGTAATTTTTTTTAAAAAAAAAGTTTTTATATGGATTTGAATGATTGTTTTGAATTCTTAGAATTTTGTGCATTTGCAATGTACCTAAGTTAGTAGCGAGCGAAGTAAACCATATAAGATTGCGTGGCAATTTTCGGGGGTTGGCGAGTGTTATCGACCAGGGGGCACAGCCCACTAGTTACAATTATAAAGTCGGGCAAAAAATTTTTAATAATCTCAAAAATTCATCAATCAAGCGATGTCCACTACAGTTAGAAAAAATACTTTTAAGGTAGTCATTAATTATAAATTTCAAACAATTCTCGTCAGAAATCTAAAATGAAAAAAATAAGATGTTATCTTAAGCACTTGAAATAGCAGACTTATGGTGAAATTTATTCTTCAAAACAGTATAGTTTATTTCAAATTTTTAATTCAAACTGTTAATTTAACTTTTTTGAGCACACATATTGAAGTATTCCATTTTCATAAACTATGAATTTTTTACAGTTAACAAAGCTCTTCGTTTGCAGTACAAGTAGAATTTAGCAATTAGCAATGTATTCAAGGCGAAAATTGTAATCTTTAATAATTTTTAATTTAATTGTTACTTCAAAATAGACAAAATAAATTATATATATTATTTCTTAAACTAAAATAATATTTGTATGTAGAAATCCAGCCTAATTGGCGAGTTTCACTTTCGATACATTCTTCGTATGTACTTTTATTTAAAAGCTACTTCAAAGTTATTCTAAAAATCTCTTCTTAGTTAACTATTTTACTTGTAGCACGGATTATCTGTCAAATTCAAGAATAAAGAAATAAATGAATTAACAAATAAATTTTTTTGATATTTTTGCTTTATAGAACAAGAATACTGTTCCTCACCAGCAGCAAGGCGACTAAATATACTAACAAATGTCTGCCAGACTTCGGTCGCCACCGTTTTTGTGGAAAATTTGACAACTATAGTCTTTCTGGAATTATTGCAATATTTTACAGAATAATTAGGGAATTATTATGAATATTTCATAGTATTCAAAAAATTACTTTATATCACGCTTTCGTTTTAGAAATTAATCTTTTAATGTTTACTATAGTTTGAGAGATGCTTCCAAAAGATGTCGTTTCTTATAAATATTATCAGATTTTTCGAACATTTAAAATTTTACATTTTTAAAAAAAAGTGGCCATGCCTTTTAAAATATTGCTCCTGTTAAAAGTTGATCAGTGGAAGAAATTCCTAATTTTTGCTCAAGGAAATAATTAAGGGATTAATTATATCGAATGGTGAATAAACAAATGCCTGCTAGTCTACACCAGATCACCATTTTTTCGTCAAAAATGCATCAACTTATTACAGTGTTTTTTTTTTGTAATAATTATGAGTAATTTATCAAATTATTATGGAATAAATAATTATCTTGAATATTGCATAATATTTTAAAAATCACCGCATGCTTGTTTCGTAATTTTTTTTAATACTAGAAAGGAACATTGTAACATTTTGAGAAATGCTTCGAAGGACATGGTATACATTATTAATATAAACTTTTTTTTGCAATTGTTAACTGGCTAAAGTTTAAAATGTTACAATTGACAGCTGGTCAGAAGCAAAAACTGCTAATTTTGCTTCATTATGCGATCTGCATAAATGTACTCACCAACATCGTTAGAGCATTTAGTGGCTATTTCTTCGCTACTGTCACAATCACAATCACTTCCAAACACTGCATAAAACAGATTTACGCACAAAAATAATGTGAGAAATAAAACCTGACCTGCCATCTTTGAATTTTGGCGAGCTATCCCTTATTGATCTCATAGCTTATTAAAGAAAATAAATATTTATAAAGAAATTAATTTTATCTCAACATATGTGTGTGAAAAATCAATACATTTGGCATTTGATTAGAGTGTTTTTTTTTATCTGAGTTATCGTAATAAGTTACAGTCGAGCATACTTAGAGCATTATTTCATTTGTATTATTAAAATCATTTTGATGTTTCATGTGATCATTATCTACAAAAGGATTGCGTATTCAGAGAAAAAATGTATAAATAAATAAAACAGTCATTTTTTACATGGAAATTTTCTTATCAATTCTTTGTCCGATGTGAGTTATATTTTTAATACCAGGCGCAATCGTTAAACAAATAAATCAGCATTATTTAAACACTAAAAATGTTAAATTATAATGAATATTTCGAAAAAATTAGGAAATTTTAGTGCTGACATGTGGCCAGTTGTAAAATTTCTTAACGATTAATACTTTTTCACGAATTGAAAATTTTAAACAACTAAGAATACTCTTGATATTGAGATTTGAAGCATTTCTCAAGGTATGGTAAATATTGCAAGGTTCATATTTAAAATGAAGAAAAATTTTAAGAAAAAAGTGTAAATAAAGTAATTTATCCAAATTTATAAAATATCCACACAAATTCTTTATTTGATTGAAAAAATAGTTACAAAATGCACAGCGGGCACAGTTCAGGTAAAGCCGAGAAAACAATATTTTAATCTCCAAATGTTCCATTTAGTCCCTCCGCAATCACTGGCCACCAATAATTTTGCTTAATGCTGTAGACCTACGATAAACACATAATTCTTCTTTTTCTAGTAGAAAGTATTGAACATTTCTCACTTTTCACACCTTATTTATCTTAAATTTCAATGGTCAGTTATGGTCAGATATAAATTTAAATACACACCTTGTAAACACACACAATTGTACTTTTTTCGATTAAAATAATTTGATAATGAAAATTCGATAGTCATTTAAAATTGAAATTGCCAATTCTGTTAAAGTAAAGTGAGCAAAAGAGAAGAAAAAAAAACGGACCACCCCGATTGACTTTTGATCCAATGGTTGGATCCTCACGTTCGGAATCAATCTTAATGGCTCGATAAGGTGACCTCAAATATGCTAATTAGTAAGTGCAGATGGCATTTTCAGTTACAAAATCAGGCACAAAAACGTACTTTCTCCGAATAAACGTACTTCTTTCGACGGATTCGGATTTTTGATCCCCATATTATAGGAGGTAGCCGCAATCTGGGAAATATTGTCCCAATAATTTGGTCAGGATAGATCTCCAAAGTTTGGGCACATTAATGTTAATTCAATTTTTGCCCCTCTCTCTATACCTCGAGAACTTTTTAAGCAAATTAAAAAAATTTTGCACAAAATATCCAAAGTCAAATTCAGCGAATGAGGAGTTTTATAAAAGCATGCTTCTGATAGAATATGATTATACATCAGATTGTGCTTATATTTAATGTGATTATATTTAATTTTTTAGTTTCTTTTTTCAATAATTGATACAATTTCAATATTATACATATGCATAGTTTTGGAACAATATATTTATAAATTTCTTCAATATATTTTTTATAATTAGTAATACGAATACGTAGTTAAAATTTTTAAGCATCTTAAAATTTCTCAAATCCTATATAACAGCGCGTGTTTTGCAAAACTATTTTACCAACTATTTAAATGAAATTTTAACATTTTTAAAAACTTTATTCCTTATGGTACCACGTATATTATTTTTCAGTAATAGTTCCTTAATAGCCACGTATATTATTTTTTCATTAGTAACGAATCAATTTTTTTAGTACTTTAGGTTTTCATTTAAATTAAAGTTCTTTTTTAAATTATTGTTAAGTTTTGATTAAAATAAAGCTTGCCTGCTAGCTAAGAATAAAATCTTGTTAAAAAATTAAAAACATTCTGCTATTTTAGAATTATTTGATGGAAAATAGCTATTTACTAAGTATGCTATTTTTTCAAAAAATAGAGATAAATTATCGATTATTTTTCCTGGTGACTTCAACATAGATTATCTAAAATAGTTTTGATGTTTTTACAAGTCACTACAAAGAGTATGAAGATACCGAATAAAAAAAGCTGTCGAATATGTAGCCAAAATTTTTAAGTGTCTTAAAATATTTCAATATTCAGTCTTAATATCTTAATTGGGAAATTAAATTTTTAATTACCTGACCGCGTTTGATCCACAGAACTATCCAACAAATTATTTCATTACATCTTTTACTCTTTCTTTATGCTACCGCGTATATTTTTTCCTTGATAATATACTAAACTATTTTGTTTAAATTTTATTAGTACTTAGAGGTTTTCTTTAAATTAACACTCGTTGTAAGTAATAGCTAAGTATTTCATATCAGAACTATAGCCAGTTAGCTGATAATATTTTTAAAAAATTTCTATGTTAAAATTACTCAGTGTAAAACGTCTGACTGATCATAGTAAATAAGTGCACCCTTTTCTCTAAGATTGAACAAACAAATTATTTATTTATTTACTTTATTGTTTTTCATTCGTTTGGCTTGTAAATAATAAATACATATTAGTGCAACTCAAAAACTGCAGCTGTTTGTTTTGTTTTTTTAAATAAAAAAATTTTGACCGCAATTTTATCTTGACGTTTAAACTTATATATTGCACAGTTAATTTTAAGAAAGTTGCTGTTTTAAAAGAGATGTTGAAAAAATTATTTTGTTAAGATTATTTTTCAACTTTAGAATGATTCCTAAGATATTATTATAGCATGTTTTGTAAATAGGAAAATGTCTTACTTTGTTAAACAGCGAATACTAAAAATTGATATTTGTGAAAAGATTCCGAAGGCATGCCAATTTTAGAATAATCATCTAATTTGAAGAAAAAAAGTGCAATACAAAGTACGCATTTTTGAAACTTATTTTGATAAAAAAAATTTAAAAAATACGAGGCGAGAAGGTTAACATACTTTTTACAGAAACTACGAAAACCAATTTTTCCTTTATTGCGTCATAAGAAGATAAGAATGATATTGCTCCAAGGAACACTCAATAATTTCGTTATTTCCAAAATGAAATCTGTTTGATCGAAACATATTATTCCTCGAAAATTAAAACGAAAAAAAATTAGCTTTTGTATTAATCTAAGCTTATTCCATTTATTTAATGAAAGCGGTAACAAGGTTAAGGATATGCGATGGAAGCTCCGTTTACTATTATACTACAAATGCATTAAATCATATAGCTTGAATAATTTATTTCAAGAAAATATTTAATACTTTTAAACAAATAATGGCGTAAACATGAACTCGATCGAAATACACCTAAAATATATTCCAAAATATATGTAGAATAAACTTTGAAATAGGTGAATTAAAAAATACCTTTTCAAACAACTTCAAGTAGGTCGGATACGCTAACTTGTTTGAAATAGCTGTCCTTGTAACTATTTAATTTCGATTTATAGGGCTAGGGGACATTCCATTTTCAGATTCGACTTTTAAAAATTTTAATCGTAAACTGAATTTTTTTTAAATGTTCTCAAGACTTGCAGTAAAAATAATTACTCCACTGATTTTTTTTGGAAAGTAGGGTACTTTGGGATTATTTTTTAAGCAATTAATCGTACAATATTCAACATACTATTTCAATATGTTATTCTTAAACATAGCATATTTAAATGTTTTTTAATGCCATTTAACATTTGTCAATTCCTTCAGTTATAGAAAAAAAAATATCGTAATTTGTACAAAGCCTTGTGAATATGCGTTAGAATTACTATACAATCTACAGTTTATCTTTAAGGCACTTTTTTGTTTTTGTTTTTCAAACTTTCTTGCCCAGAAGACTCGATTATAACTGAAAAAAGGATTACCCCTAAAATTTTGCATATAGTTATAAATTATGTAAATTTGATTTTAGTATGAAATCCTCGTAATAATGAAATAAATATTTTAACAGTAAATTAAAGGTCAGATAGAGAAATGGGCATGCTCCAAAATCCTTATAAAGCTCTAATGTATATATTTTTTTAAAAATTCGGCTTTAGTTGGCTGCTACTGACAAATATGTATAAACTCTAATGTTGAAGGGTTATGAAATAAGTTCCAAATATACTTAGATAGGTATAAAATATTTCATTGATATATTTGGTGGTGATATATTTGGTTCGCTTAATTTAGGTAATATATGCTTATTGAAATAAAATAAATTAACTATGCATTAGAACGCAAAAGTAATGGAGTAAAAGATATTTATCTAGAAGAACCATAAGATATCATCATACTATCATTAACGACATTGATGCTTGATTAATGTTTGTAATATGTTAACTGATTTAAAATAAATTAACTTACTAAAAAGCAAAAATAATAGAGACTATTCATTTTGGGGAACCGTAAAAAATCACGATATTATTATTGACACTAATGCTTAATTACTACTTATATTATGAATGAAGCAAAACAAGCTATGCGCTAAAAAGCGAATTTAAAGGGGGAAAAATTTAATAGGAAATTTGTTTAGGAAATCCGTAGAAAATCGTCATTTGCGGATGACGTTTACTTATTGTGCACTACTGACGTTAATATGTTCTACTGGTATTATGGTAATTGGTGCAGTTTTGATAACAATTCTGCGACGGGTTTTTCATAATTTCAGAAATTACTTTTTTCAGTAGTAGCAAAGATAGTGTATTAATATTTTAATGAATTAGAATATAAAGAATTTCGCTTCTTTACTGCTTATATATATTTTAGTACAGTAAATTAAAGGTCAGATAGAGAAATGCCCAAACTTCAAAAATCTTATCAAGTTCTAATAAGAATTCTATTTCGGCTTTAGACGGCTGCCACTGATAAATGTATTTTAACAAAACTTAAATGTTGAAGAGTTATGTAATATGTTCCAAATATATTAAAAGGTATAAAATATCATATTAATATATTTGGTGAATATTAAGAAGGCACCAATACTTAATATTACATACTGATACTTTGGAAAT